ACCACTTTACGTAGATCAATTATTTAGGATCCTTGGGTTACTCAACACAGACGTTCTCCTAAAAGAAGTTTACCTGCTGATCCAAGCAAACAGACTAGAAAAATGGACTTGGATCAAGGTGGAAAATAGAAAGGATGTATCCATTATCATTCTTCATAAGGGTATTTAAATGTGTGTGTGTGTGTATATATATATATATATAATATCCTCTTATAAGCTTACTATATTTGAAGTTTCAACCTTTGCAGGTTGACTGATGGGTGTCAACAAAGCTAATTAAAAATTTCCCGAAAGCACAGAAGTGAAAGGGACTTGGAGGACTCCTCCGTTGACATTTAAATATCTACCGTGCAAAGCGGAAAACAAGATTTGCATCCAACAATGCCACTTGGTTAATCCAGCACCTTTTATATCCCAGAAAATTGTTCTTGTTCAATAGTGCATTTTTATGAAATTAGGTGGATATTTTCGATGTTGGAATCAACTTTTTTCTCATCTCCCTTGCGTTGGAGTAGCTCCATTTTAACAGATGTTTCCCTCTTTACTGCTGAAGTAAAACTGCATGTATCTTGACACAGGCAAGCAGCACTTGGCTGTGGAACACTAAGCCTTCCATCAGGTTATTCCCTCAGTTTCAGTCATTGGCTTCAATAGGGCTGTTTCTTCCAAGCTCAACAACATAGTATCCAAACACTATTTCTCCATTAGTCACCTGGTCCTGCACTCCAAAATGCAATTCAGACTTGGAAACAAGTGTGTATCCATGACCTTTAAGGTCTAACATGGTCTGGTGGAAAGCATATTGGAAGAATGGTAGTCTGACCAACTTTCTAAGTGACCTTTGACAAATTAACTGACCCCAGTGTGCTTCATTTTCCTTTCTACACAGGAAGCATAAAGGCAATAATACATAGCTTTCTGCCGTATCTTGCAGGGATGTCATGAAGCTAAAATGAAATAACTGTTTACATTCTGCTTTGACGTGTTCATGCTGAAATAGTCCCCTTTCTCTGCTGGTAGAAACATGTCACCAAATTTATAATAAAAACTGTTGGAAAAGGGTTTAGTGGAAAAGCAGTTTAAGTGTACTATCTGGAACAAATTTATTTCATTTGGTGATGATGCCTGGTATGTTTTAAAATGGTAAAAGCACAAGATTTAGAATTCAGATCCAGATTGGAGTTCTAATGCAGTTACTTTAAAAGTCTCTGCTCTATATATCAAGGTCCACTGATGCTCTTCCACCTTATCTTTAGCCCAGTACAATATAAGAGGCAATTGTGGCCAAGGCAAAGAGCATTTCAAAAGCCAGTGGCAGATTCTTACTCCCCAAATCCAGTAACTCATAGACATCTGTTGTATTCTCACACTGTTCACACTGCTCAGGTCTACCTTTGTGCAAATTAGATCCAGAAAACGGAATTACCAATTAGAAAAGATAGGTGCGTGCACTTCAAGTCGCAGCACCACCAATTCTGAACCCCTTCTGAATGTAGTACAGTTCTCATTCAGCTCCAGAGGTCTGATCAAAATCCAACCCTAGCATAGTTTCTGGCATGAAGTAGAAAATCAACACTTGTGAATGTTAGTACAACTTTCTATTCTGCTTTTATTTCTCTGACCTCCTCCCTAAAACTGGCTCCTTATCCTCACAAATTGAGGTCTAAGTTCCTGACTCACAGAACGTATGCTTTCAATGACACCTATCCACTCTTTTGACAACTGTTTCTGAATTCCCTAAAATTGTGCTCCAAATTTCAAGTGAAAATACCTGGATTTCATAATTTAGAGAGTCCCAATTTATAGTTTCATATCCTCTGGACACCAATGGCCTGATCACTGGAAGTTCTGAAGTAAAATTTTAAAGCCAGACCAATTCCCTAGTCCCTCTTCCATTTTAATTTGTAAATCTCATACAAAGCAGAAACTCCTCCTGGGTCATTCAAAAACATGTATTTATTGCCCACTGTGTATTATGCAGATTAACTCTTAGTAGGATTTTAACTATTAGTGCGATTTTAACGATAGGTGGGATAATGATGATAAACATTTATTTAAAATTTGTTACAGTAGGCCTTGTTCTTACTGCTTTTTTCATGCTATCTAATATCTTAGCTGTTTAAATATTATTATTATGTCATCAAGGGAAGATTAAAGTAGTGTAAGCAGAGGAATGAGATAGTACCACCCTAAGATGTGGGCAAAAAGGACCACTGACTTGGAACTAAGCATCTTACAAAAGGAATGAGATAGTACCACCCTAAGGTGTGGGCAAAAAGGACCACTGACTTGAAACTAAGCATCTTACAAATACACACAAATTTTATTAAAAGACATGTGGACTCTAGTGCAATAATTTCAGTTTGCCTGGAACTGTCCTGGCTTTGGCACTGAAAATCCTACATCCCAGGAATGCCTGTCCCTTAGTCGTAGGCAAATCAGAAAGCCTGGTCACCCTAACCTCTGTCACTGGCTATGTGGCTCTCAGTGCTGGCACAGTGTAACCCATAATCCTAAACTTACGCCCTTGTGAATAAACCCATTCAGGCTCCATAGAAATGTTTCTGCACATATAGTCTTTTCCATATAGTCTTGAAACAAAAGGCAGCTGCATCCAAAAGCCATAGAGGCTTTTAAGGGTGTGCCGCTGGGTATATTGTAGACAAACACTACTTTGCAGTATACTGCAAAGAGAAGACAAAAAACTAAAATGTTTTATAGTGTTTACCGCAATCATAATAATTTATGATGTGTGATCCTACTTCAAAGTTTAAATAAGGAATGTTTATTTCTGATTTAAGTATTAATAATTTTATTTACACTTTAAAAATGTATGTGTTGCTTATTTTCTCCGTAAGAATTGTAAACATTAAGCTAAACAAATTACCTGTAATAGAATTGATTAATAATTTTTTGAGAATGATGGTTTGGCCAGATATTCACAAACTTTTATATACTACACAATGCTATTACACTTGTGAAATTTTCTTGTCTAACCTGAATTTACACTCCATGGTAATAACACAGTATATGTATTGTTATTAAAGTAAGTGATCATGTCCCAGAAAAAATAATAGCCCTAGGTTGATTAAATCACATAATCTCTGTAAAATATAATAAATAATATTTATTTATAAATTAATATTGTAATATAATAATATTTATTACTTGTAAAATATAAATAAATAATTCAAACATTAGAGTCATAAGGGAAAAAGTCAAACCATGCATATAGAATATTTTAAAAACACTGAATGAACAAAAACTTCTTTTATTAATGAATGATAACTTTCCTATATGGAGCCCATTTTATTTTGTGTATAAATTACAGCATTTTATTTTGTGTATAAATTATTTATATATATATATAATTAAATCCTATGTATATTATTAAATCCTCCATATCAAACTTTAGACAAAGCCATTATAGTATCTCAGTTTCACAGATGTGAAAAATTAGACTTGAATGTCAACTATTAAATGACAGAGGTAGGATTCAAACACAATCTGTCTGACTTCAGTATACTCTTCAAACTGATGAAGGATACTTTGGGTGAACATCACTGCTATAAAACAGTAAGCAGAATTATTACAGTCCATTGATATAGCGGGACTCAAACTGTAATGCCCTTTGCTATCGGCTTGAATAGAGACAGTTTAGTGCAAAAAAAAAAAAAAAAAAGAAAAGAAAAAGAAAAAGAAATACAGTAAGACCTAGGACAATATTATTCACAAAATTTCTTCTAGGCATATTTATCCCATGCTACAATCACTAAGCCTCCATGCAGCAGACTCACACAGAGTCACATATTGAGTGACTATAGGTCCCAGGTTCCCCAAGACAATCTTGATTTGTGATATTGGTTTTGCAAACTCTAATAATTTTTACTTTCAAAAGTGTGATTTGGAGCCAGCACAGTAGCACGTGCCTGTAATCCCAGCTTCTCAGGAGACTGAAGCAAGGAGATCACTTGGTCCCAGGAGTTTCAGACCGGTCTCCAGGCAACAAAGTAAGACCTGACCTCCTACCCTCAACATAAAGTGCCCTGGTTTGGACAATGAATTATGTGAACACCCTACTTTAATGTTTCTTGCTAAACCTAGAGGGGCTATACCTTCCCATTGCTTTTCTCAGTGATGGATCCGCTGGGACTTACCCAGGCAGTACCGTCTCAAAGTCAGTAGAATATCCCCTGAATATGATAAAATGTGTATAGAGTGCTTCCTGTATTTCACAACTCTTCTAGTGGATATTTAGGTTAATATTAACTTAAAGACACAGAAATCACACATCACAAGGAACAGTCATTCATATCCGTATGTTGTTATAGAAACATAATTTAAATGTAATATTGCTATTGAGCATGCCAAATGTCATTCCAGCTAATTTTGACTACATAGTTAATATGGAGAAACGTATGATAACCATCCTTACTGAGACATTTCCTGAAATTAAATCTTGTGTTTTAAAGTTTTTTACAGTCGAAGAAAAATTCTTTATTTGACTTTAAACTTTACACTGAATTTCAAAGTTTCCCTTGATACTGTTCTTTGCACAGAGAATATTGTAATTTCTCTCACCCAAGGCTGTGCAATTCAGATCTTATAACACTTGCAGCTTCATTATATCATATTTTTTAAATGATTATCTTTTCTTCTTATTCTTTTTAATATATTTTTATGTATGACATTGATATGAGGTTTTGAAAAGTGTAACAGAATAACTAACAATAATCAAACCTATAGTTTAAATTGTGCTTATTTTTGAGGTCTTCTCAGTCCAAAAAAAAAAAAAACTACTTACTCCATTCTTCAAAATAAAAAGATTAAGTTAGAATAATGGTTTATATCAACTTGAAGTTTAAAGTATCTTTAAGAACACTGTTTTAACCAAAAAGAAAAAATAACCGTAATCAATTTGAGAGCAACCTCTTTGATAAAGTGACTTGAAACTGTTGAAATAAAGATATATTCATAAGAAAGAGTTAAATAAGAGTTACCAATACAGAAGTTGAAACTCTGGTAGATCTTCGAAAACAAAACACTTTCTTTCTGAGTTTGATACACAGAGCTTCCCAGTAGAGGGCGCCACGATACTGAAGGATGTTCCCTGAGGAGGTAACTTTAGTGAAGCCATTTTATGATTATATACAACATAGTAAATAAACTCAACCCATACCACTGGCCACAACCCCATATATACTATACTGAGACTTTTTTAAAAAAGAAAGAAATAATCCTATGCGGATTACAGTGAGATCATTAGTTTGATTTTAACAATCTCAAAGTGTATGTAAATAGCTGGTTTCTCTGGACATACGTCTAATGATACAAAGCCATCTACTGTGTAAGCTGCAGAACACGTGTGGACAATAGAAGCTGTTTCCTTGGAAACGACTATGTGAAAGCTCTTGCAACATCTCTCCTCCCCAGGAGTTAATTTGTTTCAGATGGGGAAAGGTGATTACTTATGAGAGAGAGAGAGAGAGAGAGAGAGAGAGAGAGAGAAAGAGAGAGAAAGAGAGGTTCTTAGTTTTTGTTTTTTCTATTATCACTGTTAACTTTTTTCAGAAATGCAGAGTAGATGACAACAGCAAGAGTAAATATTAATGACATTGTCACCATCTGAGATTATAGGTCCGCAACCATTCTGCCCTATTATAGAAAAAACAGCAAAGGGATGCAATAGGAAAATCTTTAAATTGAACTAAAGTCGTCCAAAGTGTGGTCTGTTGCCTACCCATCCCAATTCTCTCGATAATTTCCAGTTCTCCGCTTCTCTTAACGCTGATCACTCTAAAGTACAGATGTTTCCCACATGCTGAGAATTACCTACAAAAGATAATGAGCTGTCATACAATAAAGAGGATATTTCTGACCCATTGATTTGAACTTTTTTCTGGTTGTAGTGAAGTAATAGTCCTACAAAATCCTCTGTTGCTTGCCCTTTCACCCTATTTGTTCCCTCTAGCATGGATTGATTAAGAAATGTGTTGTGTTCATACCTATGGAAACTTCCTCAATTGTAGGCATGTAGTAGCAGCTGACAGGTTAGTTTTTGGCATTGCTAATTATGGTTGAGTTGTGGTTTGGAGCTATAGAATTGCCTAAAGAAAAACAGTCCATATGTGGAAAACTTAAGGTCCTTTTCTTTTGTATCACTTTTCTAATGAACAAAGTTAACCGGACAGCAGACATCTCAACACCAATTAAGAAGACTCAACCAAAACAAAGCACACTAAATCATCTTGGTACATAACTTTGTCAAGAGTAATAACTGTGTTACTTAAATTTTATAAAGCCTCTCAGATTAATGTGATCTAATGAAAGGAAGTGTAAATTAACCTAAAATATTTGAAATTGAAATCAAAACCAGGTGCCTCCACTATAAATTCATGGGAAAATGATCCTGTGCTTTAATAGATGGTACTGACATTATCTATCTTTTTCTATAGAGTTTTAGAAATGTGAATTAACATTTTCCAAAACTCTGCAAACTCACAAAGAAAAATAAATGACTGATTTAATAAAGCCCTTTTCTTGCTATTTAACTGTCTTGTCATTAAAGGTTCTAAAATAATTTCCATAAGAAAGAAGAAAATATTAAATTTTGGAAATGTTTATTGTCAGAAATTCTCAATTTCATGCTAAATATAGTTCTTGTGATATATTCTAAAATAATAAACAAAAAATATTGTATAGATAAATTATTAGGTACTCTAAATATCAATATTTTATTTACTTAAAGAGCTGTAACATACTATAATTATTACTAAGGAGTTACTATACTTTGTTTATGATAGTTATGAAATTATTAAATATCACCAAGTTTCATAGAAAAGCTATCAAATCACAAATACGTGGGCACACTGATATTCATAAAAGAAAGACAAATGTTCCAAAATAACATAATTTATTTTGGCTCCTTTATCCACATATATAATCTAGACCAACATGAATATGTAGTTATTCATGACTTAGCCTAAAATAATGTTTGGTTATATTTAAGTAAATAGAATATCTATACTACTTAATACCTATGCCTTCCTTTCAAAATAAAAAAAAACATTGAGATCTCTGTGTTCAGGGATTATAAAACAGTAAAGGAGGAGTAAAATTCATAATTGTGGGCAGGTCACTTTTCTGAAGAAGGACTGTATCATAATCCTAACAAGACATTTTACTTTTTTCCAAAGTTCTTTCTTAAAAAAGAGATGATGTTTTACATAAAATTTGGTTAGAAAGAAATTGCACTATGTTGCATAATAATACAAACATGGAATCCATCATTAAATGAAATGGTCTTCTAAAATATAAGACACAAAAATGTTTCTCTTCCTTCTCATAGGTTTATATTGTGCTTTCTCTGAAAATTGAAGTTTATGGGTTTTGTGCATGTGTATACATGAGAGAAAGAGCTAACTAATAGGGATGCACATAGACATTTACAAAAATTAGACATAGCTATAATGCACATATTCTTTGATTCAACAATAGTCACTGTTTTTACTTGTTCTACATAATATTTTAAACACTTGGGAAACATCACTTAAGTGATAAATATCTTAGACTTTATACTGCTTTTGTACAAATGGGAAAACCTCATGGTATTAGACTTGGAGTGCTACCATTATACTTCAATTGTTTGCATGTGCTAGGAGTGTCAATAACAAAACTTGACAGCTGTTGAATTTGGAGTGCTAATTCTTACCATGGTTTGGTGGACTAGCATCAGTCGGCCATCTCTGACTACCTCCTATCCCATTACCTCCCTCACTATAATGGTACTATTCCTGACTTAGTAAGTCATATGTTTAGAAATGTGTCCTGTGTACTGCCTAGAGAGAAAGGAGAGTTGGACTGAGATCTAGACCGAATTCTGTGAGTCGGGGCTGTTATCAAAATGTACCAAAGGAAATAAGAATTTCATACCAAAGCCACCAATGAGGAAAGTAAAATGTTGACTAGGAGGTGGAGCTGTCAAAACCACTCAGAGGCATAGCTATCAAATGCGTAATGTCATGGTGGACTTCAAACAATATCTGGTCTTACCCCGAGAAATACACTATCTTAACGTGGCTGTTATATGATGGTAAGGCCTGACATTGCATTGCTACAGCTAGCTGCATGTCCTTCTTCACAAGTTAATATACAGTTAAGGGATCCCTTTTTATGGAAGTGTCATAATTCTATTAGAATAGAAACATGACCTGTTAAAATGTAAGCTCCATGTGAGTGAGGGTTATGCCTATCTTACTTACAGCTATGCCCCCAAGATCTGAAATAATGCTTTGCACATAGAAGATGCAAATACATTTGTTTGTTAAATAAATGAATAAATCCATAGCTGACATTTTTATCTATATACTAGAAAAACAGACTCTAAAATTAACACAATTATTTTTTTACACAAACTATCTTTTAAAAATATTACGTAGCAAGTAACTTAGTTCAATTGCTTAAGTTCATTTATTACTGGTTTGCTTTGGAGGACACAATTAAAAATTAACTATAACCCACATGCAAGTTCTGCCTCCAAATACAGCGATTTTTTCTGAAATTTGTTTTTGATTGGCTGAGGAGTAAGTTTGACTACACTGGTTTTGGCCTAAAACGCTGGGTTCTGATCTATTTGCATAAGAATTTGTCTGCATCTAGGTCCTTACCAACCACTTTTCCTGTTAATTTCCAGGTTTTCTCTGGCTCTTTTTAATACTTTTTCACTCAAGTCCTAAATGTGAGTCCTTTCCAAGGTTCTCTCTAGACTCTGCCTTTGATCATTTTGCACATCTTTAAATATAACCCACATGCAAACTCTATCCTAAAATGCTCACAGTAGCTTTGATTTGTCATCACAGTGTGGTATTGCTATCCTGCCTTCAGAAGGTCAAAAACCCAGAAATGTCTTCTCCATTCTCAGTCATTCTTCTTCCCTTGAATGTAATATTTCTCATATTGCTTCACTATTTTCCCCATAATCCAAGATTGAATCCTTATAGACATACTACATCTCGCCTTAAAAATCTTAGATAAATTCATTGACTGAATAAACAACCTATCATTTCTTCCTCTGCCTCAGTTTCTGGCATCTTTATTCTATTATTTTCATTTATCACTTTTTTCACGTACAATTGTATAGTTTTTCAAAGTACATTTCATAGTTCTTTCATTCTCACATTACTTACACTTTAGTCTTGGTAAAAGCACTACTTCGCTTAGTTCATGTCCCAAATTCAATTAAATATGTGTGTGTGTGTGTGTGTGTGTGTGTGTAGATATATATAAATCCTAAACTTGACTTTCCAGACCTTCTGTGTTGAGGAGTTAATGTACTGTTTTAAATTTGATCTCTACAAAATCTTTCTGCACATTTTACTTCATAAAATTTAAATATTTCATTTTCCTCGAGCACCCCATGAAATTTCTTAGCTCTGTGCATTTTCTTCTATTATTCCTTTCACTGGGTATACTCTTTAATCTCCCTTCTTCTGCCTAAATTTATTTACCTGAAATTTTCTGCTTTTTCTTCACACTTTTTGCTTTAGATAATTACAGTTGTGACAAATTATCCCTAAAGTTAGCTGCTTAAAAACAACTAATATTTATTGTTACATAATTTCTTTTCATCGGGAATCTGGGCACATTTTAGTTGAATGCCTCTGTCTCAGAGACTGTCACTAGGCTGAAGTCAAGGAATCAGCAGGAGCTACACTGCTCCCAAGCAGCTGGAGACAGAATCTACAGCAAAGTAGCATGTGTGGTTGTTGGCAGCATTCATTCCATGGTGAACTGCTGGACTGAGGGTGTGAGATCCTCACTGGCTGTTGACTGGAGGCCACCTTCAGTTCCTTGCCACTGCAGTGTACAGATGGCTTGCTTTATCAGAGCAAGCGTGTGAGCAAGAAAGGCCAAAAAGACAGAAGCCAGCATCATTTTGTAATGTAATCTCAAAAGCGGTATCCAATCACCTTTGCAGTGTTCTATCGTGTAGTAGAGTCACTTAAAAGGATTCCACAAGGATGTGAATATTAGGAGACAGAGATCTTTGGGAACCATCTTAGATGCTGTCTACTAACCACACTCCTCAAATATCATTTCTTTGTTTTTCTCAGGAAATGTTAACTTTTTTGGTCTTTGCATCCCTATAACAAGTTGATTCACTTCCTTTTTATGCCACTAACCATTTTATTTTAGTGCTTTTGTACATACTAGTTTTGACTACAATATATCTAATTCTCAATATATTTCTATCACAATATTTTACACATAGTATTTCTGACTAAATTTTGCTGAATGGTTTCTATCTCTGTCATGATCCCT